TTATCACGATCTGAGATGATGGCCTTGCGTCCAATTTACGTCATACTCATTCCCTTTGGGAGACGAGATGACGAAGAGGATGCTTGTTAGAAGAAGAGGCAGAAATCCTATTCCAAGAGAAGTCGTGAACACAGAAGGCGCAGAATCCAGAAAATCCTTACCGAATATATTTCTCGGATTTATCTTATCATTTTATCACTTCTTTTTCCTTATTTCACTTTTACGAATTAATCGTTAGTTTAAATTATGTGAAAGAGAAAAAAAAAAGGTATTTTTTTTTTCCTTTATCATAATTCTTCTTATTTTTTTTCAAAGGGCAGGCATAAGAAGATCTCAAAAGTATGTGAGTATATATATATATATATATATATATATATATATATATATATATATGTATATATAGATCTATCATAGGAGATAAATATCGAATCGTTTCGAATTAAAACAATATGAGATAAAAATGATGATTTCTTTCTGGATTCTAAATGTGTTTCTCTGCGTCCGCGAAAGCAATTTGAACTTCTCAGGTTTGAAAAAGTGTTCGCGAAAACACGATAGATGCGTTAATATTATACGATTAGAAAAAACACCAAGACACATATAACCTGTCTGATCGGTTAAAAATCCGATCCTTTGTTATAAAACGACGAATAATTCACACATTACTTTTTTTTTTTTTTTTACTTTATATTCCTTAATATTCTTAGTTAACACACACATTCCTTACAAGCAAAAAAATCGGTCTCTCTCTCTCTCTCTCTCTCTCTCTCTCACTCTCTCTCGTTCTCTCTCTCTCTCTCTTTTTCTTTTCTCTTTTTCCTTACAACTATTTTTTGGAACGATATCTATCTACTTTCTTTTCCCTTGAGCGACATATTCTCCGCACCCTAACGATGGTTATAAATGCCAATCACGACGTATTGGCTATTGACTTTCCGCAAGATCACCCTCGTAAAAAAGCGAGAGGCATCTGCCAAGGATAATACAATTATTAATTCGCTTATAAGATATCTTATCGCAGTTTTATAATCACCAATTGGCAGTTTATTTTCTTATTTATCTCGTCGTCTATAACTTCGACGTGGTGCTAAGAAAGTAGAAAAAAGTGTATCTGTCGGTGTGATTATGTAAATGTATGCGTGTATTTGTGTGTGTGTATGTGTGTTTGTGTGTATATGTATGACCTATAAATAAATATTATATTCGCTATGTATTGGAATACTTTTGACGGAATAACGCCAACATCTTACTTAAACGAGGGAAAAATATAATCGAGGGGAAAAAAAAGAAGAAAAAAAAAAAGAAAAAAGAAAGATAATAGAAAAGAAAAAAAAGTAAATGAAAAAGCAAAAAGAACACAAAGTTTCAGCAAATAGAACATAAGTTAGGCTGTTACGAGAGAGAAAAAGATAAAGGAAAGCGATCCCTATTACGTGTCGTTTAAAATCGATCAAAATCGTTTTTAATGGTATCATAAGGATTCTTCTCGTGAATCCTCTTTTGTCGGAGGGGGGATTTTCTTAATCTCGTGATGGGAGATTAAGAAAAATCCCGTTAAAAGGAATAAACATGAAACGGTCAAGGGATCGCTTTCTTTCTTCTTTTTCTTTTGATCTTTTTTTTATTTTTTTTTTTTTATTTTTTTTTCATTTTTTTTTATTTTTTTTTATTATTTTTTTATTTTTTTTTTTTTTTTCATTAAAAAAAGATTTTGTCAACTTCCCGTAAAACCTTCCGCAAACCTGAAACTTTTGAGATCGTCATTTGAGAGATCATTATTGATATTCGCAAAAAAAAATTTCAAAATTATACATTCGAAATTGCAGATCGATAATCGTCGAGAAAGAGAAGACAAACGAAAAGACAAAAAAAAACAAAAAGGAATTAAAAAAAAAACAATAAAAGACAGAACGAACACCAATGGAATAAGAGTATGAAGAAAATCGAATGAATCAAATTGAAACGCAAAATATTCATGAAAAATAGGTTGAAAAGAGTTCGCAAGAAAAAAAAAACAAAAAAACAAAGAAAAAACATTTAAAAAAGTATGCTGCCAAATAAAACCACAAAATCAATAAAAAAAAAAAAAAGGAAAGCTGAAGGATGAAAAACATATCGAATGAGATGTAATAGAAATAATTAAAAAAAAAAAAAAAGAAATAAAAAAAAAAAAAAAAAAAGAAGAGGAAGAAGAAGAATAAAACAAAATAGAACGAAGAAACACAATTTAGAATCTAAAAAAACGACAAAAAGAAAAATGTGAAGAACGATTGGTATGGGGGTGGTTAAACGAGATTACAAAAAGAAAAGTAAAAAAGAAAAAAAAAAACAAACAAATAGAAAAAGAAAAAGAAAAAAAGAAAAAGAAAAAAAGAAAGGGGAAAAAAAAACAAAATTAGGAGGGCACAAGGCACGCGTGCCACAAAAGGCGTCTCGCGCGTAACAAGAGCGCCTTCGTTAAGAGCTAAACTACAGGAGATCATTTGAAAACTGTCCAACGGGACTCGCAGCCAGCCAATTAAGATGCTGCGATTCTCGACCTATCGATTATCTACTTTAATTATTTAACGTCAACTTATTACTGCTTTTTATTACTTTAGTTTTAATTCTCTATACATATATACGCATTCTTCCTCACAAATATTACGCTTTACGATCCCATCCGTGTATTCTTTTAAAAATCTTTTCCCCCCTCCTCCCGCCCTCAGCTCTCTCTCTCTCTCTCTCTCTCTCTCTCTCTCTCTCTCAATCACACTCTCTCTCTCTCAATCACTCTCTCTCTCTCTCTCTTACTTCCTTCTTCCTTCCTTTCCTTTTCTTTTGAAAAATTATCACTCTCCACGGACTCTCCCGATAAATCTTTCCTATGTACAGATACTTTGTCAAAGCCATTCCACAGCGCCGTTCCGCGATCCCACTATTATCAATACGGGATAATCACAGGGGAAAAAAAAAGAAAAAAAAAAGAAAAAAAAAAGAATAAACTTGATTAAAAACTAAAGGAAAATTATTATTAAGAATTTTAATAAACGCTTGGAAATCCTTCGAGAAACATCTCACATGATCGATATAATTTCGGAGATCGATATCTTTATATCTTAAAGAAAAAAAAAAATTAGATGATAGTAAAAGTGAAAGTAATGAAAAAGAAAGGAAAAGTTGAGAAATGAATAGAAAGGAAGGTAGGAAAGAAAGAATAGAAAAAGAAAAGAAAAGAAAGGAAAAGAAAAAAGAAACGCAACGTGTTATCGCGGAACGGCACGGATTCAAGAACTTTGAAGATCTCGGATCTCGTCGGCCGGGTAACAGCGCGTTATCAACAAGCCACGTCGAATGCTGCTCGCTCAATATTTAACGAAACCGAGAGGGAGATAGAGAAATCAAAGAAGAGGAAAAAGAGGAAGAAGAATACGAAGAAATAGAAAAGATAAAAAAAAAAAAGAAAGAAAGAAAGAGAGAAAGTAAAAAAGATGGAAAAAAGAAGAAGTAAAATAAAAAGAAAATAAAAAAGAAATATCAAGTTCCTCTCCCCCTCGCCACGATAATCACACTACTCCTATTTAACTCTTTTTCTTTATTTTATTCGTAATGAGATCATCATTTGATTATTCGTTTAAAGTCCTCTTTGGATCTCGTCCTTTTAAGCTTCCCCGTCACCCTTGCCACTCCTTTCCTTCCCCTCGCCCTTCGCGATTCTCTCGTAACGGAGAAGAGAACACAAGTTCTCTCTCTCTCTCTCTCTCTCATATATATATATATATATATATATATATATATATATATATATATAAATCTTTCTTTTGTCTTTTTCCAAAGCCCTCTCTCAAATCAAATCTCCCACATCTCTCCCTTTCTCTATCTATCTTTATCTCTATCTATCTTTCTATCGCTTTCTTTCTATCCTTGTTTTCTACACTTTTGAAGGTGCGAGGGCGAGCGATCGTATCGCAAAATACTATACTCTTCAATGCTTCCTACCTCCTTTTATTCAACCGGAACGGCCATGGTGTTTCTCTTTTATCTTAAATAAGATGAAGATCATTTCGATGAGATCATCTGGATTATCGATTTGATGCCGAAAATAATTTGAAAACATTCGTCTTCTTTTTCATCATATCAAAATCTGATCCACTGGCTCGGCAATTTTGTCTTCCTTTCTCTCTTTCTCTCTCTCTCTCTTTTTTTCCTTTTCATTATATTTTTTATGTTTTTATTTTTCTATTTTCCTTTTTTCCCTTTTCCTTTCTTTCTTTCTTTTTTTTTTTCTTTTCAATTATTTTCCAAACGGACGGCGCAGTCCAATTTGAATGTAAAAAAAAAAAAAAAAAATAGGAAGACACATACGCATATCTCATAGAGATCAAGAAAACACCATGCTCGTTCTAAATAGGTCAGCGAATCTATCGGAGGAAGGATAGCAAGTCGGATATTGTGAAACAATAATGATATATATAATACTAGTTATATTAGCAATAATGATAGAATTGTAGTACCGTCGTTTTGGAGCAAGAAAAATATCTCCGCGTACTCGTAAACTTTCCTATTTGTTCGGCACACCGAGAGATCGATTAGGCGATCGATTAGTCGATCGATCTATCAATTGTTCGATCTCTATCTCTCTCTCTCTCTTTCTTTCTCTCTTTCTCTCATTCTTTCTTTCTTTCTTTCGAGAAAAAAAAAAGAAAAAACAAAAAAAGAAGTATATTATCAGGAAAAGCAACGAGTGAACAGAGTTCGGAGGAGAAGATTTATAGATCACATTTTAAAGACGATCGAGAGAATTAAGGCATCGTCGTTCTCCCACGTTAAATTCTCCTTTCGTCTTACTCTACCTCGGAGAACTTCAAAGTATCCCTCCTCCTCCTCCTTCTCCTCCTTCTTCTTCTTCTCCTTCTTCTTCTTCTTCTTCTTCTTCTTTCCCTTCCACATCCTCTTCCTCCTCCTCCTCCTCCTCCTCCTCCTCCTCCTCCTCCTCCTACTCCTCCTTCTTCTCCTCCTCATCTTTTTCTTCTCTTCCTAAACGATGGTCCTCTCTTCTCAATGCGATGATGCTCGGGATGATGCGGCGAGGCGAAAGCTCATGGATTTATCGTAGACGAGAGACAAGCCTCCAACCGAGGTAGAGAGCCACTGTCACCCATAACGTCGTCTCTCTTATAGACGCTGGGATCATGGAACGTAATATATCCTCGGTGGGTAGGCTGTTGCCATTTGTGTTGCTTGGGAAACCGGAAGTCACCAACGACAGTCGTGAGTTCTCCAGTTCGGCGTTCTGTAACACGCAATGGCAAAAGCTAAACTTTCAGAATAGTTTTACCGTTGCGAATTTGTTAATTTATTCTCCATGATTTTAATATACAATTATATCTCCGTACGTAATTATCAGCATCTATATTTCGAAAATTAGAAATATATATGATTTTTTTATCATATATATGAATGATTCAATTAAATGATAAATATTTAAGCAATATCGTCGATCATTTCTATGTTATGATTCACTATATATATATATATATATATATATATATATGTGTGTGCGTGAGTGTGTGTGTATGTGTCTATACACATAGATGAAACGATATAGACAGAATTTGACAAATAATTGAAAAAATAATAATAATAATAAACAAGTAGGCGATTATGGATTATTCCCCTTCTTAATCCCTCCCCCTCCCAATCCTTCTTAAAGTCATCTAAACACATTCAGTGTAGACGATATACACGATCGAAACGATTTCTTCGTGTAAAAGAAAACTATAAGAGAAATGAGGGAAGTTATTTCTTTGTCTCGAATCCAGTGACTACTACTCTCAAGATAATCCTGAAACGCGACTTCCGATTCCCGTTTCGTCTTAATCTACCATACTCTTTTACTTTCTCTCTTTCTCTCACTCTTTCTCTCTTTCTTGCTCTTGCTCTTGCTCTCTTGTACGCATTCACGAAGCAATAATAAACGCGTCCGAAGGAAAGGGCAATCTCGTAGAGGCGGGTCTTTTATGGCTAGGGACTATAATATCTGCTCATCGTCCATTCGATCGGGGAACGTCCTCCTCCTCTCTAACACCTCTCTAACACCATTTCTAACACTCTCGAGTTAGGTATATGTATCCTTCCTATACGCGAAAATCTCGTATTTTCTGATGTCTATGTATCGATAAACGAGGAAGAAAAACACTGTCTAGTCGGTCGTCTCTCGTGCGAGAGAAAAGATTATCTTGGACGTTGAACAAAGAGGTGGAGAAAGAACGAAAAGAGGGTGGAACAGAATAGTATGAGAGAATAGAGTGAGAGTGAGAATGAGAGTGTGTGTGTGTGTGAGAGAGAGAGAGAAAGAGAGAGAATGAGAAAAGGAAAGAGTCGCATTAAGAGAGAATTATGACTTGACCAAGAAGGACCCGTGGGAGTCCTCCTCGTCAATTAATACTGTCCTTTCTCTCGCCTATTCTCCTCCTTCTCTTTTTTCCCCCTCACCTTCTCCTTCTCCTCTTTCATCTTCTCTCTTTCTTCTATGCTCAATTACAAGTATATATGAAGAGAGAGAGAGAGAAAGAGAGAGAAGAATTTTCTGTTAATGTTTCACACTTACGATATAGAAAAAGGACAAAGAGAGAGATTTCGCTAATAAATCGAACGAACATCAACTTTCTCTCTATCGTCCAATGACAGACATTCAGGTCTGACGTTAATAGTAATAACGATAAAATAACGAGTATAACGATCTAACGACGTTGTCTTCCTTCACTTATATTATTCTATCGAATAGAACAACAACGCACGAGAGAACACATTTGCGAAATCGTATCGAAGATGGAAAATAAATTTATATAACAATCTTTTAACTTAGGAATTAAAGAAAAACGATGCACACTCTCTCTCTCTCTCTCTCTCTCTCTCTCTCTCTCTCTCTCTCTCTCTCTCTCTCTCTCTCTCTGAGAGAAAGAGAAAGGTTCTAACACCTATAGGAGGTCAGAAAAAGATTGTATATATCGTAGCGTTATTGCTTAGTAATATATCGATCGATAAATTAAAATTTATTTTCAACTATTAAATTATCCATCGAAATCCTTCTTCTCCGACGGCTTAGTCGATCTCTTTTTCTTACGGGTGAAGCCCGTTTTCTATTGGAGACACGAGAAATATACATATCTATACATTTCTT